TCCCGATCGCGGGGCCGCGCCGGCTGCGGGGCCTCGGACGAAGAGCCTGTCCCCGCCGCGCCGACGGGGAAGGACGTGCGGCTTTCCCCGTGCTTCGTTCGGCCGTCAGGGCCGTGGCTCTGGCGGCGCCGCAGTCGGCGCGGTGCCCAGCGCCAGGCCGGCTCGGTCAGGTGTGGGCGCTTGGTACACAAAAGCAGGGTCGGGAGGAATCCTGTCACAGCTGTCAGCTGTGATCTTAGCATGCAGATGCATTTTCTAACCTAATCGCTGGGGTGATCTTCTGGAAAGATGTTAAAATGCGACTGCTTTCTGAAATGAGATCTTCTGCCACTTTGACCGATATATCTGGATTACAGAAGCTTTATGTTGTATTAGGCTGTGAACCACACGAGGTTTATTTTCCACGGCAATGGGGATATGCCAAAGCATATTATGCTTCTGTTTAATCCCCTTGGCCCCACGTGCAGCATCAGTTCAGCTTATTTAGCCCTTTCCAAATAATCAGCCCTTTTCCTAGGCAAGGAAGGTGGCTCAGAGGTTCTGTCTCAGGAACAGCTGGGCAAGGATGTGTGTGAAAAATAAGTTATGGTTTAGGGTAGACATTTTTAAAGAGGAAAAGTGTATTTGAGCCTGTTCGTACTACAGTGGCGAAAGGGCAGATCCATGGTTTTGAGCCCCTCTTGCAAAATGTCACTTGCTGGGGCTGAATTTAATGCCTTGAAGCCAGCCCTCGGCTTTGACATGGAGCATGCTGGTGACAAATTATTGGGTACGGAATGCTTTTCGTTCTTCTGACTGTTCATTCCATCGGTCCTGGCTAATGATTTTTAGAGAGCATGGGAAATGCCTCTAGGGGAAGCCACCATTTTGATTGCTGTGCCTAACTCATCTAATTCTGGTGCTCCGGAGTTTGCCGTCAGGTTTCTGAGGTGTTAAAACATCTATTTTCCAGATTCCTGTGTAGGATGCTTTTTTGCTAAGAGTCTGGAAAATAACTCGGGTTTTGTTGGGTTGTGGTGCTAAATAAGTTTGACTGTGGGAAGCACGCATTCTTTCAAAGACCGAGCACGCAATTGAAGTTCCCTTTCTTGATCACTAGAGATTTTAAACACGTGTCAAATGAAATGCAATAGTCAAGGAACCAGAGTGGTTGAATGAATTGCCTATATGTTTCTTTTTGGCGTGAAGTGTATGGCGGTGTGTGAAATGTTTATTTCTTCAAAGCAATAGGTAATAAAAATGCTTTTGAAAGTTAATTAAATAAATGTGTAGTATATGTAATACACTTGATTATGGTCCATGGATTGTAGTGAAATTTCAACACTTTCAGCTCACTTACTTAGAGAGCTCAGTTATGTTTTGATACCCAGGTGGACTAATTAAGCATAGCAGTAGAAAATATGGGGTGCAAAACGCAGGTGCCTATTGAGCTTAATATTTCAGTATGTTGTAGAGAAACTCAGGAATCTAGAAAATGCTAAACTGGTATATGCTAATTTGCCATGGAGTACTATGGTATGTTCAGGCAGCTAATCAAAATAAAGTTGAATCAGAAAGCCATCAAACTTGTGTCATGCGATCAAAATACCAGACATTTATCTACAAATAGAAACACAAGGAGCATCCTTTATTGCATTTAGCAAAGAGTTGGAGTATCTCCCATTTCTTTCTAATCCATTTTGCATGCTGTTATGGCTGGTTATTTTTCTGCAAGCATTAGTCTGATGAATTTTATGAGCATGAACAAGACACTAAATGTCCTGGAACACACAAAGTGTTCCATCTTGGACTGGCAATTATAAGCATAGATTCAGTTTTGCAGTTTGAAATGAAATTACTCTGGAGTAATTTGCTCTCAGAGACAAGAAGAATCAGCAGTAAAAGCATCTAACGGAATTTCTGAGCAATGGAAGTAGCCTTATTTGTTGTAGCATCCTTAGTACCCATGACCAAGGTTGATGGGGTGACACTCCTACTAGCTTTAATAAGTTGCATCTAATTGTAGCATGGTCTGCATCAGAATGCCAGGGGGATGTAGATTCCTGTGAGGTGCGCTTTTAGGAAGCCCCAGAACATCTTGTTGGGATGGCGTCTTCCTGCATGCTCTCTCTGTTTCTGTGCATATGGTGTTTGTCGGTGCTTTTAGACATCCATTCTGCAGCATGCTTTTTTCTTTTCTGTCTTTTCAGACAGTTACTTAGGCCTTCTAAAACTGTCTATCGTGGAAACGGAATAGGGAAGCATCCCCTCTTCAGCATCAGCTTCATCCAAGATACCATATGGTTATCATATAACGTAATATTCTCTGTGGTGTTACTTGTGTAGCAGAGTAACTGCAGGACTATGCCTGATTCAGGTTAAACTGAAAACTTGAGCGAAAGATGTACTAGGAATTTACTATTTTTACATGACTGCCATTTTTGTCGCATGTTATCTTTGCTCATTTCAGGACTGCCTCTGAATCGCAGTCCAGAAAGAAGACACAATCGTGTTGATTTAAGTTGAACATTTGTCTCTAAGATTAAGAACAAAGCCATGCCAGTACTTTCGGAAGACTCAGGTAACTAATCTGCATGCTTTCAACAGACCAGTGACTGAAATCTTAGTGCATGTGTTTCACACAGGAAATGCATTTAAATTGGAGTTAAATAAAATAGAATTAAGGTAGTTCGACTAGATTTCTTGGCAGTTCCCTAAAAGAAAATGAGGAAGGTGGAGTATAAAAGGGAGAAATTAATAAAGTTAGTTAGATTTTAGGAAACACCTAGTTTCATAAGAACCTTAGAGCCCCTGAATACATGCTGGTAGACAGGCTCTTATGGACAAACTTGAACCTCTCAGTATAACACTGGCTTCTACGCATGCTTATTAAAGATCAGCCCTTATATCTCTGCTGCTTGCTGTGCCACTTCTTAATATTTTCTGAATAGGTGTTGGTAAGCTTTTAATATTCTTCCTTATGACTTAAAAAACAGTGATTCCATTCAAGGCTTGCTAGCCAGCTTCTCCAGTATGCTAGCCAGGGTGACATCATATACGCTAATGATACAGAGTTTTAAAGCAGAAGTGAATTTGAGTCTTCTGGATCCAGATGCACTCTAAAGTTCATGGAGAGAATAACCAAAGGAGAAGATTTTAGGTGTGTCCCCCCCCCATTTTGTTTTTGTTTGTTTTGTTTTCCCAGTCATGGTCTGCTAGGAAAAACCTAACGTTTGTCTGGCCCTGTGCACTGCAAAATTGGGATAGTGCTGCTTTAAGCACTTTTTAGAAAACCAGCCACAAGCTTTGCTTCCACTGCAGTGGAAATCTACACCAGTCCTTTCCTCCTCTGGTCAGACCTGACTTCTGACAGGTGCCTTGGAGGTGGAAAGGGCAGGATAACGCTTGTAGGCGAAGCTGCTCTGGAAGTAGAGCTGGGAGCTGTGCAGCAAAGGAGGTGGTTCAGTCCTCTTGCAAGTCGCTGTGGCACTCTGGTAACTCAGAGTTTGTTAGAGGGCTAGCTGTTGTAGAAACAAAAGGTAATTAACATGAAGGGGGAAACTTCAACAGTAATGTCTTTAAAAATATGTATCGCTTTGGTAGCTTTTGCCTTAATATGGTATATGTTATATCTTAAGCTGTGTTTGCCGCTTAAGAAGGGAGCGTTACAAAATGAGTGGAAGATAAGCACAAATCTCTCTGCAAACTTAATGATCACCAAGATGGTACCCAAATAAATGTAGCTGATGTTAAGTCTGCAGTAGAAGGTCCCGTGAGACATGCTATCTACAAAGCTTTTGTTCTGTCTTGAATTCACATTTAGGATTGCATGAAACTTTGGCCCTTTTGACATCTCAGCTAAGACCTGATTCAAATCATAAAGAGGAAATGGGATTCCTTAGGGATGTCTTCAGTGAAAAGAGTCTCAGCTACCTGATGAAGGTAAAAGTTCATTTATGAATGTACATTTTCCTTGTAGGTTACTTATTCTCTGTTGCCTTGATTTATCAATTGTTTACTTTGCTTTTTTTTTTTTTGTAGAATTCTATACTGACCAAAGCATGTATTTATTTAAGCACAAACGTTAAGAGCATTTGTTGACAATTAATGTATTTTGTTCAGAAAAAATATTTCTGCTTTGATTGCCAAAATGCAGATGTAGTGCCTCATAGCTAAAAAGCAGTGTGAGATGGCTTCATTTTTTTGCCTTATGCTGCTGAAGTCTTTACAGATTTTCTGTCTGCCTGTGACACTAGCATGAGCAAAAAGAAAACTAAAGGACTCCTAAACAAAGCAAAAATAACCCCAAGAGAGGTTATTTTTCTGACACTTATCTCAGAAAAATTATATTCCTTAAATGTAAAAATATTCCAATGTACGTATATTTAGGAAGTTTGGCATCTCTCTATAGTAATATACCTGAGTAATCTTTTTCAGATTCATGAAAAACTCCGTCATTATGAAAGACAGAGTCCAACTCCTGTTTTACATAGTGCAGCAGGATTAGTTGAAGATGTGAGTAAAAATTCTTGTCTCCTTATTTTTCTATTATTTATTTCCTTATTTTTTCTATTATTATATCTCACCACCCTTATCGTAAAAAAATTTCTTCCTTATATCCAATCTAAATCTGCCTTATTTCAGTATAAAACTGCTGCCCCTTGTCCTGTCACTACAGGCCTTGGTAAAGATCTTTTCTCCATCTTTCTTTTAAGCCCCCTTTACATATTGAAAGGCAGCAATAAGCTCTCCCCAGAGCCTTCTCTTCTCCAGGCCGAATAACCCCAGCTCTCTCAGCCTTTCTTCATAGGAGAGGTGTTCCAGCCCTTGGATCATTTTCGTGGTCCTCCTCTGGATGCACTCTGACAGGCCCGTGTCTGTCTTGTACTGGGGACCCTGGCATTGGATGCAGTACTCCGGGGGGGGTCTCAGGAGAACAGACCAGAGGGGCAGAATCGCCTCCCTCGACCTACTGGCCGTGCTTCTCTTTATGCAGCCTGCGATGCAATTGGTTTTCTGGGCTGCAAGCGCACATTGCTGTCACATATCTGATTTTTTCATCCACCCGTATCCCCAAGCCCTTCCCCGCAGGGCTGCTCTCAATCTGTTAATCCCCCAGTCTGTTCCCAGAGCAAAGTTGTATCTTAGATTTGCTTATAACGTGGCATGTACCTGAAAAAGTGGAATTTATACTGCCTTTGACGGCTCTTTACAAGTGGCTTGAGCCTGTTTCCTTCAAAAGCGTAGCAAAGGGCTGTGGAAGGCTTGGGAGCTAGAATTCCTCCCTTTGCAAAGCCAGGAGACCCCACTGCCCCATCTTAACCTGCAGCATGCCCCCTCTCCCCTTTCCCACAAATACCCTCCATAAAAATTTTGGCACTGCTGCCTGTCAAGTCATACAAAATTACCGTCTTCTAAACAACAGAGGAGAAGTTTTATACAGGAGTATACGACTTCCCTGTTTAGAACCCTTTCCAGGGAAAGAAAATCTCTCTTGCCTCAACCCCTTCTCCCTTCCTCCTCTCTCCGCCCGCCCAACCAGCCTAGTGCAAAAGTTCTTCCATTATTTCTCTAATCCTTTCTTTGGAAGGCCTGAGACTCCAGGGCATGTTTTGGTATCCAGGCTTTGCAGGGGAACAAGGGAACTTCTGTTGCATGTTCCACACGGGTAGTGCTACCTGGTTACGGAGAGGATTAAACTCCTTTATTGTAGTACAAGCGAAGGAGTGTTGTTTCACTTATCACTTACGGATTCCATATAGAATTGAAAATTTCAGAACTCATTCCTGAAATTATATTGGCAGAATCATTCTTAAAATGTATGTTTAGGGGCTAGGATCCTGATTTCTGATGATATCTTCCTGTACTATCTAATAAAAATAAAATAGATGAAGCAGCTTTCATTTCTTTTAGGATTCATGCACTATTGATTGGGATTGGGTTTGATCTGTGCACGCTACTTTGAAGGATGATAGCAGTTTGCAAACACTCACCAGAAACACTCACTTGCAAATATTTGATCTTGTTTGGTGGACTCCTTTTATGTTGAGGTTGTTAATTTTTATGTTAAAGGTAATAGAAGAATTGCAGACCGCACCAGTGAATAATGAAGAAAAAGAGCTACTTCAGCTGTTGTCAACACCACATCTCAGGGTAAAAAACACACGAGAGACCTTAATGAAATTCCTTTGCAGAATTCCAATGGAACATTTTGTAATGGAAAAGTTACATTGGAGAGTCCCCAAGAGAAAGGAAGAACCTCCTACAAACAAATAGAACAAAGTTCTATTCCACTATGATTTCCTGCCCAGGCTTTAGGATGCGAAGGGGATTGAGAAGACACAGCGTAGGCCTTTCACACCTAATGCACCGTGTTATCTTCACTCCCCTCCTTAATATTTTCTGAGGGAGCAGAAAAGAAAAGGTTACCGTTTCTCAACTTTTTGCTTTCCATAGTCCACCGCCATTCTGTAAGTTTATTTAGGCTGAGCTTTGTTATTGCCTCGATTTACTTTAAATATTGACATATACCAATATATAGTTTACATGATGAGTAAGATAATTGCTGAATCTTTTTTTTCAGGATTGATGGTGAGGGTGGGAAGGGGGAGGTTTAAGTTTGCTGTAATGTTGGAAACATGAGAACTGGAAACTGTAATATTACCCTATGACACTCCTGTTTCTTATTTCCTTTATGCAGGCAATGCTTGTAGTACACGACACTGTAGCACAGAAGAACTTTGACCCAGTCCTTCCACCTCTACCCGATAACTTTGATGATGATTTTGATGAGGAATCGGTGAAAATTGTTCGGCTAGTGAAAAATAAAGAACCCTTGGTACGTATAAGATAACCCGTCTCTAGTCATAAAACCCTGTAGTGCAAAAGCATTACGGGGAGTATGGAGGAGATACTTGAAGATGGCATCAAATAGTCTGCAAAAACTGGGAGTGTTCCGAAGCTAGTAAAATAACATAAAAAGAACACTTTGGTAAATACACCTTCACAAGTTTGCATGAGATGCTTTATAGGCACGGGTTTATAAAGCCAGTAAACGCATGGAACACGATCTCTGAGGAAACTGTATATGTTGAAGCAATTATGCTTATTATACATACTCTTTTCGTATTGTAGCTAACATTCAGTGAATTAATACCTTCATTTGCATGAAAGTCAGTGATGTATGGTAAGAGTATGTTTGATAGCTGTATGTAAACTTTATATTGACAAGGTACTAATTTTATACAAATGGAAATGGAAGAATTGATTTCCTAAGAAAAAACAATTGCACTGGGGAAGAAATATGCTAAAGTGCTTTTTGTGTATGACAGTGGGTGGGTAGTAGAAGAGAGCAGTGACTTAATTGCTGATGAAAGCTTTGTATTGCCAGCAGAGGTAGGAGAAGGGAAAAAAAAAAACGCCTAATTACTTGGCTTTCTTTGCTTTTACATGTAAAAGTGCTGGCTGTATTGTCTAAAGATTCAGAAGACACATAGGGAAAGCTCGTTCTAAGAAATTCTGTTTTGCACGGTTGAGTGACTTTGATCACCACAACAACGTAGGTAGTGAAAGCACTCGGCAAAGCCAGCAGAAAGGAAGGTGTGCGCACCTTGCCACAATCACATGACACGGGCGCAGGCAAAAGTTGAAAAATGATTAAAATTGTCAAGGAGGAAGATAAAATGTATAGAACAAATTAATTCTGGTTTAAAAAACACATTAGCTTACATGTTATTTCACCGCTTACTGTATTCTAAGCAAATTTCTTATGATGGTTTCTGGGGGGGGTATGTTTTATTTCAGGGAGCTACCATCAGAAGAGATGAGCATACAGGAGCTGTAATTGTAGCAAGGATCATGAGAGGTGGTGCAGCTGATCGCAGTGGTAAATTTCTGAAGGAAAGGGGATTTAAAATTGCATTTGTAAACTTTTTAAAATTTCCAAAATTATGCGTGCACACACGTACTGTATACACATACCTAGAGCGATAATCTCTAACTAAATCCGATGGTTATTCATTCCAAAACCTGTCCTTTGGACACAGGTGTTTAATACATGTATAGACTATTTTGTAAAAAAAAAAAAAAAAAAAAAAAGGTAACAGCCTATAGAAATCTTAATAGGCAACTGTTAGATGTCAAGTCTGAACTAGTATGTAGGCTCTCTGTGTAGTCAGTGGAGCGAGATGGACGTTGCTGGAGAACAAATCATCCCAACAAGCTTTAGAACAGGACAGATCACTGCTGGAATTGCCTTTCTTCCCTATGGACTGTAAAGGGAGCCTACACGGTAAGCTCACTTCACAGCTGAATTTCAGGTGGCAGGAGAGACTTCGGTGCGTAGGCTGTCATTCAGCATGCCTTCAGGATCTACAGGGTTAATTCCTGCAGTATTTGACCTTCCCTTTTCTAGAAGGTGATCATTCAGATTTTATTAAATAAGCTGAATTGGCCTTATATGAGATTTATAGACTCCAAGCCTCATGCACTTTTTTAATATACAAGTAATTGAATCCCAAAATTAATGAATTACTGTGATGAAAAAATATTAGCTAATTAAAGCTTTCTTCTTGATCGTTATCATTCTTTGAATTAGTGTAATCTGATAAATGTAATGTGAAATGACTAGAGCGTGTGCTTAGCATTTCTGTATTTCATCAGTACTCTATTAATTTAATTAGATATGTTTTTCTCTGAAATAGCTGCTAGGAAAAAATGCCAACAGAGATGGGAGAAGTAGGTCTAAGCTTTGGAAGAAAGAAAAGAAAAGAATGTTTTTTACCTTTAATGTAGTATCTTGGTTTATTCACTGTATCATGTGTTGTTTTCTGTTTGCTTTACTGAGAAATTATTTTATGTCAGTTAACAGTAGTTATATAACACAAGTACAACGTTTCTTACTGAACTGGATAAACAAACCTAAAGCTTGTAAGAGCCTCGTTATGGCTTGTTAAAAAATTAGTCCAGCATTCTTTCTGGGACGGTGTAGTGTTGATCTGTTAGTTGACGGCCACATCATTCCTGCCTTTATAGTCAGCAGCATGTCTCCTGACTCCACAAGATTTGATCATCCTCATGAAACTATTCCAGTTTTGCGTTCTTATTGCTGAGCCAAATATAGAGGCAGCGATTTTCCAGAGTATCTTGCCACATGTTCTCTATCTCCATGCTGGTCTCCTACGAGGCTGTGCTACCTGAAAAAAAATGCCGTAGGGAATAAGGGTGGGAGACTTCAGAGCCCATTGCCAACAGAGGCGTTTGGCTCTGGTAGGAAATCCATTAAGCTGGGGGAGGGCGGAGAGGGGGTGCATGCTCTTGACTTAAGTCAGACATCAGAGGAGTGGTGCTTTCCAGTCTGTAGACTTACTTTAATTTGCTTACCATCTTTTCAGGTCTTGTCCATGTTGGAGATGAACTAAGAGAAGTCAATGGTATTACTGTGCTTCACAAACGACCAGAAGAAATAAGTCAGATTTTGGTCTGCACTGATTTTCATTTCAAGATCTTTTGAGTGATCTAGTAATTACAATAGATTATGATATTTAACCATGAGTTTAATATATGTATAGAGCTAAAAGATGCAATTCCTGCTTGTCTTTGCATTAAGAGTTTTTCTTCTCCCAGTGGATTAGTCTTCTCCTTTTGACTTCAGAAACTTCTGCGAACTGAATTGGTACCAATTAAGATACAAATAGAAGCTTACGTCTTTCTCTGTCAAGAACTTCCCTTTCATGCTTTGTTTATGACAAGCAAATTGCAAATTAAAAGTGCATTCCTAGAAGATAAGCAGTTTATTCATAATAGGGTATGTTAGGAAGCTGAAGAAAGTCTCAGCTGTGTGTCCAATAGAGCTGTCAGTTTGTTCTTTACCAGCAGATTCCTTGCAACACTAGCAAATTCTTGCTTCAAGCTTCTCTAACATTAATGCTCACAAATCTTGGTAACTCTTTCTAAACCTCCACATCTGTGATCTGCCTGCTGCGTTGCAGAAAGTGTTGTAGCTCTTACGCTTATTTGTTTTCTGACTCCCCTCTTGTGGCTTGGTTCCCCCGTGTCTTGGTGTGAAGTGGAGTTAGGGACACAGTAAGAAGAATGGCAACACTAGGAGACTGAAGTATGTGGCATCGGTTCCATCACCTAATTTAAATTTAGATCAAAATAATCCTGAATAAGGAGAATGACTGCTTTTAACTTGTGGGGGAAGGATCAAAATCATATTTTGAAATGCTGTGTAGTTTTATTTGTGGGGACCCTGGGATGCTATTCATCTGTCCCGTTTTAAATTCCTGCAATGTAATAGTTTCCTTTTCATGGTTTATTTTTTGAGGAAGAGCTACAAATGTTTGTCCAAGCTGATTGTCCAGGTTTCCTTTTTAATCTGTGCAGAATACCAGGCTTCTCTAGGACACAGTTCATCTCATCCAAAATAAGGCATCTCAAATAGATCAGATAAGCCTATTCTAGATTTCCAAAGCACCTAGAAGTGCTTTTTCATGTACTATAACTAATAACTGAAATTTGCTGGCAAAGATTTTGAATGAAGGTAGATGTTTACTTTGGAGATGTTTACATTTCACCTTAACCAGTTGTCCACTATGTGGGAAAGTACAGCAGTATTTTTCAAAGGAGCACTTTAAAATGGTTAGTCTGCAAAAACTTAAGTTAGTGTCGTACTAAAAGCCACAGAAATATTTAATGCCCTGTGAACTGTAATCCAGAAATTAATGCAGTTGCTAAAAGCAGATCAAGGAATTTTAATGCAGGTCTTAATATGTTCTAGCCAAGTAGTTACTGTGGATGTCTCCATGGGGAAGACACTGTTGAGGAGGATTCATGGACCATCATGATAGTCTCTGTAATTAAGTTAAATAGTGGAATAGCTTGGCCTGTTAAAGTTCTGAGAAGAGACAGATGCTAGCTCCTAAACTGGAACTTGAATAGTCTGCATTGTGTCCTTGTCCTGCTTTCAAAGTAAAAAATATTTCTCTCTTTCTCAGGCTCAGTCTCAGGGATCAATAACATTAAAAATAATTCCAGCCATCAAAGAGGAGGATCGTCTAAAAGACAGCAAGGTACGCAACTTAGTGAAATACCAAAGCACACGTTTTCGTATTTACACAACGCTGGCATCTCTGTAAGTGCAAGATTCCTGTTGTTTCAGTGAGGAGAGACACGAGAGTCACAGACCCATAATTGAACTAAAAAGATAGTGGAGCAGTTTCTTGTTGTAAAATGCAGTGCCCTTTTATTCAGTAGAATTACTTCGATGACGTCTCTCTTCTTCATCATCTTGGCACACGATCTTTCGTAGCATTTCTGAAGTCTAGCCTCTTCTTTTTGTTCATGTAATTAAAATTGGTGTTCCTGCCAGTCTCGTCTTACCACGACAGCTGCTGTCTGTCCATTATCTCTGGGCATCCTGCCGCTCGCTTGAGTCAAAACAGACCTGTTTGCAGAGAGCTGTGTTCATCATTTGACCCCATTAGGCCCCTGGAAACATGAACACGCCTCTCCGAGTGCTTCATTTGCCCTCCTTTGCCTTCCTGTTCGACTGGTCCCTTACAGGATTCCTCTGTCAAACTATTTCTGCTTCCCTGCTCTCAGCTGCCAAATTTTTCCTTGAAGCCCAACAAATCACTTTTAAAAGTAGTTCTACTGTGATGCGTTAAATAAGGTAAGATGCAAGATGGTAAGATGCAAATCCAAAGTTTTGAATAGTAGATTTTGATGCATTAAAGGAAGATTTTAAGGACAGTCTTTATAATAGGGCAACTTTGCCATAAGTCCCTTTTTATTGTTTTCTCCCTCCCCTGAGATTTTTTCCTTTCTTTGTTGCGTTTTGTGCTTATGTAGACTGTGACCTGTGTTTCTTGAGACTTTGATCTTTGAGGCTCATGTTCCCCAATGCCAATACATAATGACTGGGTATGTGTTTGAAAGTTTAGTTTATTTTTCTGTATAAGTAAGCCAAAATACAGGTGCAGCTTGCTAGGTTTCAGTATTTTTGAGTACCATAAAGCATAAAGGAGAGATGAAGAGTATATATAGTTAGTGGTGTAAGCACTGGGGAAGCCTTTTAAAGGTAGTTTGACATTCCAAATAGGACAAGAAGAAAGGATGTGTTACTTTCTTTTAAAGGTGTTTATGAGGGCACTTTTCTGCTATAATCCCAAAGAAGACAGAGCCATTCCCTGCCAGGAGGCTGGGCTGCCATTTAAGAGACGACACGTCCTAGAAGTTGTAAGCCAAGATGATCCCACGTGGTGGCAAGCAAAACGTGTTGGAGATACCAACCTCAGAGCAGGCTTGATCCCCTCAAAACAGTTCCAAGAAAGGTTTGTCAATGAAGATTACAGAATTTTTTTCACACATATAGTGTCACTCTGATTTTATGCTGCTTTTTTTCACAGGAAATGAAGGGCAGGATCATGCCAGGGTGAATACCACATGCTTAGAGAAAAGTGCTAAAAAGCTCAATCTTCTCCAATTACATACTAAAGTTCCTAGCTTTCCTTGGCTAGTTTGCCATTGACTTAGGCTTTGTGGCATGAAGGCAGAAGCACTTGCTAAACAAACGTGTATGAAATGAAATGTGGAATATCAGTCTCTTGACCCTCTTGGCCTAGAGAGACGCTGTATTTCACAGACTTGTACTTCTATAGTATAAGAGGAAATGCTGATTTATTGTAACAGTTTTGAATTTATGCAGGTAGTAGTAGTCAAAAAAGTGTATCCGATCTTTCTTCTGGCTCCTAAGAGAGTATTTAGCTGGGACCCAGATGCCTTCTAGAGCTTGAAGTTTCTTTGTTTTTACAGCAAGATATGCGTATCTTCTAAAGCAAAAATATCCCTCAAGTCTTGTATGTACAGTACAGAAGCCTTAAATTTAAGAAGGAATCTGGTTTAGGCTACTGGTCTCATTGTGTGATTCTTACTCCAAATTACTGGATGTGTCTTCTTTGGATTGTAGGTGTTACAAAGATGGGGTATCTAAGAATTAAACAGGTCTGATTCTATTGCTGGCCTCCAAGGTTTGCATAAGGTTTCTAATAGAGGACTTCGCTCCACTGCATGAATGCTCCTTTGAAATACTGGGCATGTTCTGCCTGAACAGCTGTATCCCTCTTCCTGTGCACGCATATATGTCAGCAGATGCTGCTGTACTGCAGTCTTTTTTTTTTCTTTTTCCTTTCTTTTTTTTTTTCTCAGGTGTTGTAAACTTCATTTCAATGTATGCAAGAATATAGAAATTGCTTCAGTGGCTGTTTCCCCTGAGTATCTTCTTTAGTCTGTTGTGAATGTTGGTCTGTTGCAAAAAAAACACTTAGGAAGAAAACGTGGTTTCCTTTGCCCAGTGAGGGGTTTCTTGGGGGTTGAATTTTTGCGCTGGGTTGTTGCGGGTTTTTTTAGTGTTGGGTTTTTTTTGGGGGGGGTGTTTTATTTGAGCAAATTCAAGACTGGCAGATTAGGAGTTGAGCTCTAGTTCATGATTTTAACACTTCAGAAATTTTTACTTGATACTCTATTCTTATGTTTTCACACAAGCTGGGTAACTTGGTTTGTTTACTAGTAAATAACAAAAACTCCAAACTCATCTGGAAGGCAATGGATAACTTCTGAGTATGCATAGCTGCAGTGATCATTTTGGACAAAGGTTATTTACTTTTGACTTCTTGTTGAGGTTAGTAGTTTTAGGATTGTGGCAGACAGGAATTTTGCCCATCCTTTGTAAAAATGGAAAATAGAAGTCGGATTCTCAGCAGAATTAGAATAGAATAGTTGTTGTTTTCTTAATCTTTCAAAAAAGATTAGGTGGGGGAAAGGAAATAGAAAAAGAATTACATTGATAAAAGTAACGTGCTATTGATTTCTGTGCTCTGATGTATGAAAGCCTAAAATGTTCTCGAATCTTCTCTCTCAGGCACTTACCAATAGCAATCTGGGACCATCATAGTTTTAAGAAAAATGTTGAATCAGAGACATTTTATATTTTTCAAGGAAAAGCACTATTTCATTCTTTGTTTTCAATGCCATATGTATAACGTGCTATAAGTTCTTTCTAACTCTGAGCTTACATGGCTAAAATATAATTATTTTCTCTTTAGACGATTGACTTACAGAAGAGCAATAGGCACTCTGCAGAATCCCAGAACTGTGAAGAAACCATTATGTAAGTCTGTTCTATCCTTCAGTGATGTCTTAGTTGATATCAACTTCTCAGTATTTCTCTGTTATTTCAATAACAATGTGTTTGAATATGTTTTGTGTGATCTGTCATTGATTGATTTGCATGGATACAAGCTGCCACATGAGAGGATTTGGGTTTGAGCTTTATCCAGTGTTGGTAGTGCATATTGCTTATGGATGTCCCTCTCTTCCTGCTTTCAAGAACATAAGGCCTTACACATTGTTTAGATGCTTTAAAATTTGCTAGTGTTCACCTTTTTTCTGTGGTTTGAAACTTGAAAGCTGCAAAAGTAACCCAGTGCACACTTCTTGAAATTCTTTCATAAGTGCATGGAATGACTCTAAGCTCATAGGAAAATAAACTGTAGCTTTAAGGAGGATAAAAATCACTGGAGCTGGCAATACCATCTGCATTTCAGGCTTAGCGTTACAAAGCTGGTCTTAAGTAGACTTTAAAGTGATTCTTGTTTACAGCTCTGAAGCCTCTGTCAGTGAATTATTCACACAAAAACTGCTACTTGTGGTGAAATTGCTAGTCAGCGGTGAACAGCAGAAGACATTCTGTATTAGCCCAGAATATAACGTTCCTGTTGCTCGTGGGTACTTCAGCACAGCTGGTATCGATGTGTGAGGCAGCTCTGTGCCTGTGTGAAGCCAGACATTGTGCTAGGAGTGCCACCCTCATGTAGACTAGGAATCTGGAAATTGTCCATCTTCAGTGATGTAAGGGAACTTCTGACCCGTGGTGCATGGCACGTCTCGTGACGAGATACAGGTATTCTTACGGCACAAAGAGGAGGGAAGGTGCTCAACCAAATTATAAAATAGCATTACTGATTTAAATGAAGCTTTTCCAAATCAGTTTCCATTATGTTCAGTGTTAGGGGGCATGTAATGCGGATTGCTACTTAGGCTTTTTGTGAGACATTCTCGAGACAATTAAGCTGATAAGTGGTTATAATACTAAATTTTAGCCAAAAAGTCTTTAATTAGTTGATAAAGGTACATTACTGCATTATTTTTTTTTTAAGATAGAAAAGCCTGTTAAGCAAATCAGACCAGAAGAACCTTCCTTTCCATTCCCTCTAATTTTACTCAATCATTTGCCAGTCTTTTAATATCGTACCAACTCTGCCTTTCATGCTAACTACAGATGATCAGTCTTCTGATAAAGGTAGGTACTCTCCTAACTCATTTTCTGTCTGAATATAAACAACCAATGCCTTTTCTAAAATACTTGCTAAGCCCCTAAGCAAAGGGATTAGTAGATATAGCTTGTTCTATAGCAGTTTCCCCCTGAGTTATTATTTGAACGAATTTAATTTGGATTGATGACTTAGGTAATGATAACTTCCAAATTTACTCCCGATTCAAGAGAAAAGATTTGTGTCTTCTGATATGCATTTGCATGTTCTGTAGGTTTCTAAGTGAGGTTGATAGAGTTGAAAGTTAAATGCAGTCTTTGTATCTGATATTTTTTAAAAAATAAAGAAATATAGGGGTTTAACATTTTAGAGCACCCATATCAATCCAAATTGATTTTTCTTCACTGTTCATTTGGACTGTTTTCTGTGTTATTTTCATTATGAGCAACTCTGTGGGGCTCATGCAGTTTATATGCCACTGTACCACACATCTTTCCAAATGCCAGGTATTTTCTGTTGAATTCTGCATGCTGTGATTTTTTTTTTTTTCACATTACACATGCTTCTTGAGAATAATATTCCAAGTATCGGTATCCCATCAACTTTGGTGAAAGTACGAATCATATTCTATAATTAGCTGGCCGTGACTGGTATACCCTATCAAAGCGTGAGTGTGAAACTAGCGCCTGCCTTCCACGGCAGAAAATAGCTCTGATCTTAGCTACGGGTCGGCGTATATCACTACTAGTATCTTCTGTCAGTGTAGGCGTAATGTTTTATGAGTATACACTGGCATTGCTTGATTACATATCTGCATGCAACTCTTCATTAAAAACCAAAGCTCTTCTCTGGATTGGCACATTTTGGTAAAGGTTTAAGCTGCATATATTTTTGCCTATGGTTGGGCTTGTCCCAGAACCATACACCTCCTCCTTAAAATGAGTAGAGTTCTGGGGATATTGCAGGGCACAAGTGCCTAAATTTTAAGAAGCCAGGTAGCCCTCTTTCAGGAAGTAGGAGAACTCGGTATTTCTCTTAGGATTGCAGTATAGTGTTTTGCAGCTAAGTATCATGGTTTTATTTTGCATACTTTTAGGGGCCTTGGGGGTGGTCATAGTTGGCTTTTTTTTACAAAAATTTGCATATTATTTTACATACACGTGTATGCCAAAAGCATCAAATCCTTTTTAATAAAGAATTAATAAGAAATGATAATTTAAGTTAGTCAAAACGAAGTTGTTTAGAGCTCATACTTCAGTCATCTCTGATTCCCTTTTTTCAAGCCCAAATGATATTGAAATGTTAGAAGCAGCAATGTTCTTACACAATCATACCCATTTATAAAGTCATACATTAAAAAAAGAGCTCTATGTTTGCCGAGTCTTCTTTTTTACTTAGGTCTGAAGCACTGGTCAAATGTAATGAATGCTAAAGAGCATAAATTCTGGGAACCATAAATACCGAGATGTAAAATTCTTCTGTGCAATATCGACGTCAAGGGTTTTTTAAAATATAAACCACTAGCCAAGGCAAATAATTTTTTGTATCATTAGTGTTTGTGCTAGAAAAGTGTGTGCATATAATGCAGGATATAAAACTTCTCCTTCCCTCACGAATGAGCCAGACTCGTATCGCAGGCGCTGTTTAAGACATCTCCCTCCTCCCCTCTCACTCTCCTCTCCCCTGTGCCCTTACCCTCCACCCCCCTGCTTTTTCATTTACAGAAGACTGTGACTGTGAAGGATATTTCAATGGACAGTACATAGGTGAGAAACCAAAGTCCCTTTCCTCTTCCCTAACCTGCCCCTTGCAAAAAAAAAAAAACAAACAAAGCCATTAAAAAATAAAAACTATCTTATTTCCATTAATTTCCCATACATTCATAAACTAGATTATCTTTGTGCAGAGGCATAATTGGACTGTGGCATAGCTAACACTTTGCCAAAAGTGATATGAGGGGGGGTTTATTATAGATTGGGTGCTTCGTTTTCTACCTGATAGGCAAATTTTTCATCTGTAAGATTAGCATATGTGCACTGATTTGATTATAAAAAAAAATTTGTGAGAGTAACTCGTATTCAAAGACAGAGTAACATCTAGCTGAACAAGCTTGAAAATTTAGATGAGTGGAGACGTGGTTTAATATATCTTATGTTTTCCTCTACAGCTGGCTTACGGAGGAGCTTTAGATTAAGTCGTAAAGAGAAGGAGAACAATCTGAATGAAGGAAAGCAAGCAGAGCAGGCAGATGCAGCAGAGTTCCTAACGTACGAAGAAGTCACGAAATACCAGCAGCAGCCTGGTGAACAGCAGAGGCTGGTGGTTTTGATTGGTAAGATACACAATTAGTTCAAAATTTTTCACGTACCGCCCTCTTCCCTTATCACCTGCACTCCAAGAGGCTTTCTTTAAGTGTTTGGTTTTTTTTTTTGGTGGTTTTTTTTAAAGGTTTTTCTGGTTTGGGACAGAAGTTGTCTCTTCTTTTAAATTACATTTCAAACAACAACCAAAAAAGAAAACAAACCAAAAAAAAACCCCAAAAAACAACCAAACTCACCAAATCCTTCTAAAAATAATGATGCAGGACCACTTCTCATTTTTCTGATTTGCTTTGCATTGGTTCTCACTTAAACGTGCGCGTTCTTCTGCTGTCAGAACAATGGATGAAAAGGTAGAGTTAGAATTATCTGTCAAAACTTTGCATGTGATTTTAATTCAGTGTGCTTAACAACTTAGCACAAAGTCAGTTTCCTAGGATGTTAGAAAAATCAAGGGTATCTCATAAAAATGACGGCTAAGATTACAGATTTTCTGACTTAGTGCCTGACAAATGTTTGTCCAACAGCTGTTCAAGGATTCAGTTTGTTCCTGGTGATGTTCTTCAGAGCAGAATGTGGCAGGTCATGAGGGCTCTCATGTACAGGTTTCTTCAAGCACACTCCTGTATTGTATTATTTGTGTGAAATCGGTATTATTTATTCTCATTCCACACAGAAATCTGTCAGTCGGTTCTATTTTATTAGGTTGTTTGGGGGCCAAATTAAGTGAGCTCAAGCAGAAGGTTGTGTCAGAGAACCCACAGGAGTATGGTGTTGCAGTTCCACGTGAGTAAAATTTACTGACGTTTGTGTGTTGCCACTTTTTTCCATAAACGCTGTTTAATAGAGTAGTGCTGGCTGCATCGACGAATGGTAATTTGTGTTTTGACTATGTATATGCATATTTCAGAAGTACTTCAAATTATTTTTCTCATTGTAATACACTTTGTTTGCCCTTCATAGCTGAATAGATCACTACATAACTTGGCACATACGAACTTTGGAATTCTGTCAACTTGGTTGATTTTTTTTTTTTTAATTGTGTTTTCCCAAGTGAACAGATTGCATTTTCTCAAGTGTCCATTAAAAAAATGAGAAACTGAATACAGGAAGGAAAAAATAAGATTGTAAATTACAAAAGGAACTAGTGTGAAAAACTAGTATCTTAAGATTCAGCCAAAACATTATGTGTGTTTAAAAGAGGATGATTTTTCTTCAGAATATCATACTAGCTAAAGTTAAAAAAAAAAAAAAAAAAGGCAGACAGCTGTAGAGAAATTAGTGATTCTGCTGCATGGGTTTGTGACTAGAGGTACACTGAAATTTTTTTGCTGGATTATTTTCTAAAAAAAAAAATAAAATATTAGACACACAAAAAAATCCATCAATATTTTTATTCCCCAACAACCTACTTTTGCAAACCAAAAAATTAACACTGAGGGCACTCTTTATACGTTATTTAAGACTTTCAATAAATGTCTGTCAGGCAGACATTCAATTAGTTAGCAGTAGAACTCATATGAGTAATTTTTACTTGAATTTAAACACGTACACAAAAAAAAAAAAGCAGACGTCACTTTTATGGCCAGGAATAGATTTGTAAAATGATCGCCAAAGCTTCTCCTACAGTAATAACAATCCTTAAAAGAATCATGACATCAAAGGCAAGGGACACGCACCATTATGTAAGTTGCGCAGTAGCGTGGGAAAACAGCCAGGGATATTCTTACTCTAAATTCAGAGGCAACATAATAGCACTTTATATGTTTCCTATTTTTATTTTCTAAGTTTCAAAGAAAATGAGAGTCCAGTATTCCAAACAGTTAAGAGATACTGTTTTCCATAGGATATACTCTACTGCTTCTACCAGATGTAAGAAGTACGCCTCCTAATTTTTGTGTTAGTTATAGCATGCTTGGGGGCAAAACAACTTCAGTTTTGGTCGTATAATTTTTGAGATTGAGTTTAAAACAAAATTATAATATTTGATGTATATTTTATATTAATTTGAATTTGCCAGTGTGTAACTACCTTGTTTGAGGTCATGAAAACGTGACTGGAACTAAACAGAAAATACAGTTGTTTGCAAAGGCTGATCTGTCTCCCGTGTCTTGTTTCCTTTCTCTTCTAGATACAACCAGGTCAAAGAAAAGTCATGAGAAGGAGGGAGTAGAATACAATTTTGTCTCTAAGCAATCATTTGAAACAGATGTGCAGCAAAACAAGTGAGTTAATTTTAAAATACTGGCATAATTGACTGTATTTCAAACACATTGCTAGTTAAATCTTACATCATATGAATACCAAAATCAGGTGTAAAGTTGGACTAGCTGTATTAGAAGGGTTCAGCTTTCCAAGTAAAAAGCTCTCTATTCAGTCTGGACTGTTCATGTGAACTCAGAAATTTAGTAAGAAGCAATTTAGTAGAAACAACATAGGACTAGTAGGAGGATCATAAGGTGGGATTTAAGCCTGCATATAAGTAGTATGATTGGTCAGTATTGAATTTAGTGAAAGTAACAGATATTTAGTTGGGCCTACTTATTCTCCATTTAGTATGATGGGTAGCAAGTTTTATTCACAAGTCAACTTTAAAGTGCGTTATAGACTGAATCCGTGAATATAAAGGACTTTCTGTAAGATTGAGTACGTTTCCTGAAAGTACGGATTTTCTGGCTAGTCTCCCAGAAGATGGAAGAATTGGAGTCCCATTTCCTTGCCAGTTTTGTTCTGTTTTCTGTGAAAAACATCCTCTTTCTTCTATTAGGCTTGAACATCAGTCAACTGAATTAATGCAGCTTCTTCCCCTAGTTGTCAGTAGTGCTGATTAGCTATTAGTGACATGTGATGAAGACTATTGCTACTAAGCAACCAGAAGGAAAAAAAAAAAATCAGAAAAAAGAAAACCTTCCTCCCTGCCCCCCCCCCCATTTGACTACTGTGACTTCAGGAAACAGCAGTCGAATGTTGTAAGTTAAATATTCTTTGTGCATGGTATTTAAAAATGTCTTGACTTTTTAGATTTGTGGAACATGGAGAATACAAAGAAAATCTGTACGGTACAAGTCTTGAGGCAATCCGGTCCGTGATGGCCAAAAAGAAGGTTTGTTTGGTGGATGTGGTACCTGAAGTAAGTTCTGCAGCTTATTTTAAAGAAAGCAAGTATTTCTTACTAGGCTGCCAGCCGAAGTAACTGATGTTGTTCACCATTTGTGGCAACTTGCTCTGCAAAGAGCAATGATGCTCCGAAACTTGTGTTTCCAACAGGTGGCCTGAGTGCTAGCTAAGTGGAACAGGGCTCTTGAGACTGCAGCGCAGTGTTCACGGTTCCTAGATGTCTAGTTGATGCAGCCTAGATGACGCTTTATCAGTGCTCACTGTGGGAGTGTTCCCTTGCCATAGGAGAAATGCGCGTCACCGTCCTAGCCTGCTCAAGTCCTAGAGACAATGAGCATGGATGGGTTTTTCATTCCTATTGCCTCTGAAGCATTACTAGCACTGTACCCAGTGCCAGTATACCTGCTCTTAATCCCTCCACAGTGGGAGTTAGTTAATCTTTGAAATCTTGATTCAGATTTTGTAACTGGGCTAAGAAAAGACTTGTGATACTACCCCAGATTAATTCCAGGTTTAAAATTTCCAGTGTTTGGCCTCTTAAGTGAAGCAAACCATAACTTGCCTGTCAAATCAATTTTTTTTTTATACTTTTCTCAGTATCTGTTGCCATGTCCTTGTTCCTGCTATCGCAATGCACAGCAAGGCAGGTGTGCGGTTAGCCTGTGCTCCAGCAAGCTCATGCACTCTTGTAAGCTAGCCAGGACACTGACATTAACCTTTCTTTTGAAGAGCAAAAGGTTACTGTGGTCAGATGTGCAGTACACAGGACCACGGGGTGTACTAGTGAAACTGTTAAACCCGACTTGAATAGATCATTGACATATAACAAAAAAATGAAAAAATGCTGTAACAAAACACATCTGTTCACAGGCAGTAAAGCACTTGAGGACTCCCGAGTTTAAGCCTTATGTTATCTTTGTGAAGCCTCTCATTCCAGAAAAGAAAAAACATGTCCTAAAATCTCCCATGTCAGAAGAAATCTCACCCCCCCTTGTAAGTATTCTAACCTTAATCTCTTCTTTTCAGACACAAAAGAAGCCTATGAAACAGCTTACCAAATTCTAGCAGTAGCGTACGTGATCTCAGCTGTAATATCTTACATACTCTTTCCTAATGGTAGCATTCTTGTTTCATTTTGTTTCAAAGTAATGACTTATTGTGCTAATATACTTTAAAATTCTAGTAATTAAAAAGACATGCTGTAAATTTCATACCATCTTCTCGTGTTGATCAGCAGGATGAAGAACAGCAGGAAATTATTAATTCAGCAGCATTCATTGAAGAGCAGTATGGCCATTTAATTGACACTGTACTGGTGAAAGAAGATCTCCAGAGTGCATGTAATCAGCTGAAAACTGTGTTAGAGAAACTAAACAAGGATTCATTCTGGGTGCCAGTCAACTGGGTTAGGTCATAGCTTGTTATCAGCTGTTTAAGGGAAAGATTGTGTAAAAATGTCTTGTAAATATATGGATTAGAAAAGGGAAATATGTCAAAATCATTTCAAAACTGCTGGTCTATCTAGAAGGTAATAGATAAAGACTGTATGTGAAAAACTAAAAGTCAGAAGCTGACGCTGCGTTCCTGAATCAAAATCTTGAATAGCAGCTGTCACTTCAAAGTGAATACTCAGACTAAACAGATCAGTAAAAGATCAGAGTGACTTTTTGACTGTAAATAGTGGATTTTGTACTGTAAGGTTTCACAGAGGGTCCCACACTTCTAAAGCATTTAAGAAGTGCTAGGACACTAACCAGCTGGAATTGTCATCCTTTGGCCACAGATTTTGTGGCTAGAGTTAAGGCATCTGAACAAGGTACGTTGCCCACAGAAGCAGCTACTTCAGCGAGGTGGGAGGGATGTCCTTTGGCGAGTGCTTACACCATGTTGGTTACTTACTTAAAAGGTCAGCTGGCTGGCAGGCCAGCAGAACATGGTTCCCCTCACTCAGGATCATTAGTTGCAAACCTTTCCGATTAGGCACTAAAACTAGGCCAGTTATACAAGCTGTATATATTTTAGTGGCTGAGACACGAGGGTTTTTTATGTCCATCCCACATTTCCCAGTGCTTCCAAGTTGTCTTGCACAGGTATGAGTCTGCTCATCTGTAGCTTCTGCCCCCTCTCCCAATCTCTTCCTACTGACACAGGACAGATGTTAAACAATCTGTGAACACACCTGTGTGACTAGCCAGCTCATAAACCAGAGACATTTTTTTAGTCTACATGACAATAACTGCATATGCTTTATAATAGGACTTTTAAGAAGCTTGTTTTCTACAAGGCATCTTTGCAAATGCCACCTGATGGGATACCACCTTGACACCAACATAGCAGCTCTGAAAAGGCTGCTAGAAGGAGGAGGCTGAAGTACCAAGTAGCTGAGCTACAGGTCCAAATCATCATCCTTCCAGCGTTTATGCCTACCTTTGTTCCAAATCGGGTGAAGGCTTCCAGAGCATCTAATTGGCTACATCGAGTCCTGAAGAAGAAATCTTAACTGTTAAGAAGACTTTGTGTATATTTCAGGAGACTTGAATATACAGAATTTTTAGGTGGATGTTACAAGAAAATGCAGGGAGATGATTCTGGAAGCACCTATGCTTTATAATTTATTTGGAAAAAAAAAAAAAAAAGTGAGTATTGTACAGGTGCATGCTGGCTGAAACTAGTTCCTGTTTTCTGTTGCCTGCTGAGGTCTGATCTTTCCTGTGTACTAACGCCCTTTAACAAGACCTTTCAGTGCACCAGTCTCATTCCTTGCATCGTAACAGTATGATGTTATTCTTGTTCTACTGCATTTAGCAAAACTAAGTGTTGCATATTAAAAGCACATTTCTTACATTCCAGTGTCACTGAATCTACATTAACTCTAGGCCCATGAAGTTGCGTAGGACAGGCACCCGTATCCATCTTCTCCAACTGTGCACCCTGGCAACTTACTTCCACGTATTGTCCTGCCTACAGGCATTGAGGTTCCCACTCCTACAAGAATGAGCACTTCTGACAGCCAGATACCTGCTCTGACAAGCCAGAGCAGACAGGCTGCCAGGCTGCTGGCCTCGGCAAACGCCCAGGGACTCCTTCCCATGTGGGTGGCCCGTCCGCTCTGCCATTAACAATCTGCAGTCTTGTCCCAGCACAGCCACCAAAAGTAATGTGGCTTACAAGAGAGGCGCATTGCCAAGTGAATTTTGTGACACATGTAAAAAATGAGTGTAATAGTCTAAAAACTATTTAAGTAACAGCATTTCAAACTAAGTTGTATTACAAAAATATGAAATGGGCAGATTGATCTCACCATAGATCTATATTGCAGATTACAAGCAAGTTTTTATAGTCTGCAAGACACAAACATGTTTAGAGGATACGGATTTAAAGAAAACAAGGTAAGATACTATCTAAGGGTCAGAATTCACTTAAAGCAAGATTGCTATCTAACATCTTAGAATATTCCAAGTGACTAGCAGTAAATAAATTATTTTGTATGTTTTACAATCTAACATAGTCTAATAGTAGAAATATGCATTAAGAGAAGCAAGGCAAATGACATCTAGAGGTACACCTGAAGTTACAATAACTGAAAACTTAAGACGTTAAGATATAATATTGCTATTAAAAGTGAACTGAAATGTTCAGTATGAGTTAAATAATCTTTAAGTGTATGCAGATACTCTATTGCTGCACAGTCACAGATACTACCTTGGGATACTGTCAGAAACATGTTTCATTTTTTTAGGTTCAAAGCAAAGGTGGTGAGAGGCTATGTATTATATGCTAAAGTTTGCAGGTAGCTAAGATGAGCTTTAGTTGTAGGGGAAAAAAAAGAACACATTCAGTGCTCCTATTTATTCTAAAATCCTAGGAAGAAAGTACATGCAGAAGATGGTTGTTATCAGGACAAGACTCCAATTCTGATGAGATACTGAGTCCCTGCTGCATTAGCCATGCCTGGCACATGCTCCTGCCATTAGGGAGAAAAAAGGTGAGAAGAGATTCTAAAGAAAATCAAAATGCAAATTTACTTGAATTCAAAGTCCTGCTTTGTAAATAGTGCCAAAAGCTCGAAGTCAAAGTACTGAAGCAAACTGAAACTCCTCTCCTTTATCCCTGTCCCCACCTTGCTCACACCTAAAATTTTGTAGTCTAACTTCTTTTTATGGCTTGTCGTATTGAAGGCTGAGCCTTGGTGAACACGTACAGTTCTCAGTGGTCTTTCATACACTGGCTGTATCTGAAACTGCTTCCCTTTCCAAAAATCGGTTGTGTACAGCACAGCCAGGGCATGCTTCAGTCAGCGAGCTCAAACATACACTCAGATGGTTTTGAAGAATCCATTTCCCCAACCAAATTTGCAATAGGATTAAGATGACAACTTACTATAAAATATGTACCTGCGACGCGACTGAGACGCACACAGATTAGAACCCCGATAACCTCTAAGCCAGCTTCTTACGATGTGTACATTGTTTTTATAAAGTGAAGCCTGTGTTAAAACAGCATACCTAATTCTCGTGAGGAGAGAAGGGAGCTATGGGTTTGTCATCAGGGCTAATTAGGCACTGTAAGAAAACGGTCATTAACAGAAGTATATTTCGTCCTTTTTTTCCCCTTCTCTTACACATCCTCTTCCCTTTGTACGCCAGTGACTTACTAGCATTCCCAGTCAAGTCTTCTGTGGGAGAACACATAGCACTGTTTGTTAATACAGACTGTACGTTCTTCTTCCACCTCCTGCCTGAGAATGTGCCCCAGGTTATCTTAGGGATACCTACAGGTTTCGAATGCATATCATTGCAAGCCAGCATTGCCTTTTTCTAAACAATAAAGATTAGCTTTTTTTATAAAGAAACAGAACATTTGGTTTATTTCTCTGCCCTAACTGAAATTAGTATTTTTGCTTGTTCATGTGAGTGAGTATACAATAGAAGGATTAAGTCTTGAACATAATATACTGGCACATTTTCTTTATACTAAAATACTGGCAATATTTATTGATAACATCAGAATAAAATAGCAACAAAATGTAACTTCAGCAAAGCAGCCATTAGCACTAAGACCACATGTGCTTTTTTTCTTTTTTCATATAGGTAGCCCTTCAACCCAAATTTCTAACTTAATTTTGTTCTAGAAACTGCTTCCCTTGCTCCCTTTTCTAATTACCTAACACTTTCTTACTACTTTCAGATTTTTTAAGGTATAGTTTTTTTTCTAGTTCAATATGCAGTTAACTAAATAGCTGTAATTTTAAAAGCATCCTAACACAATTTATTTAGTTTGAAGTTGTAATAAAATAATATTTGTACAAAACAAAAATTAAAGTACATCCCTGCCAAGCAGCCTCAGAATTCTTTTGATCATAGGTAGGCTTACAATCAACAAGCTGCTTCAAAATACCTTCGTTTTACACAGTGATATTCATTATTTTCCTGTTCTGCTTCCCTCTATTTAAGCTATGAACAAAAATGAACACATTTGAAAACGCATTCTCTGGCTAAGGAAATTATATTTTTAAGGCACGTATGTGTGTGTGTATATATATACATATAGAGAGAGTTGAAAATGCCCATGGTCAAGCAAACTCGTGTTGCCTACCCCCATACGCACACATCCCTCCCCCACAACCTCCCAGTGAATCCTGTAGCCAGACATTGGCTTTGCTCAGCATTTCCGTAACAGCATGTTATGGGCTGTGCCTTTATCGCAGCTCGTTAGTCATATCCTTTTCCTGCACAGTTCTGTCTTAAGTCAGACTTATGCCTACATGACTTTAGTTACTCCTTTACAGCATTCCTGACTGCAGGCACCACCGAATGGGTAAAGTAATCTCACTTGTGAAGATCTAAAAGCGTAACTGTATGCGGAAAGTAGGACCAGAACAGCTGTTGTGAATAGCTAAGGGGAGGCAATGATAATGCACTGCAATTTGGACTTAGGGGTACCATTACCTAAATCTTGCCCAGGTTAAAATGCTGGGTTGGTGCACGTGGAGGCTTATTATCCACACGAGATCTTGCTTAAGGCAGCATTGCTTTGTAGAAGCAGTAGAAATAGGAATAATGTTTCAGACTTGCAGAGACAGGAAGGGGAGTACTCTCATTTCAGAGCTACCTAACCATTGTTCAGTAATATTTTCCTATTTACGTGCCAAACTAGTCATATTGTGCCTCAACTCACAGTAAATGAATTGCAATATTGTTTAAGGCTTTTTCTGTTCACGAACACACGAACCTGGATCAAAAAAAAATCTTCCTTCATCTATTTTAGCTCAAGCTTCATCACAAGTCAAATTCATTTGAAAAATACAGTAATTCAACAAGTCCACTTACTGAGATATTAACTAGCTACAGTTTTAAAACATCTAGTGATAAGGAGGACTGGAATTTCCCAACAGGATCTCTACAAATGCTTCATGCTGATGGCAGCTCCCTTTTCTCTTTCTTTTGTTCAATTTATAGTTTAAATAGTTTAAGACGCTTATTAGCAGTTTTTCAGTTAAAAAAAAAAATACTATCTTGGTGTTACCTAGATTTTTCTTTATCGCAGCTCTTCGCTCACAATTTGCAACTATGACAGAATAGGCTAAATACTGCACAGTGCCCATCTTGGCCAGAGCTACTTGTTCATGTTCACGGGGCTTTCACCGTGCCATGGACTAGCTTCTGATGTCACAGCAAGAGCATCTGCGGTAACTTCCAGTGATACCACCAGTCAAATTTGTAATATACTTTGTCTTCCTTGATAGTTGAGGTTTGAAAGGCCAAATGAGACAATCAGATGATAGCTTTTTCACTGCATATAAGCAGTAAGAACAGTAAGAATAAGTGTATATATTTACATTACTACTTTCAGACCTGACTACATTCAAAACTGAATGGAAGCCTGATTCATTTAGTTCACTTCCCTCAAAAATTGTTATTACTATAAACAACAACAAAAATTCATAGGTTATTCATGTTAATAGATATGCCTCTTCACTACAATCCTAAAATTCAGTAGTAACTCAGCTTATTATCTGGGGACATGTAGCAATTTTTACTGCTTAAAACCATCTGAAGTAGGGAAACCATGTCCCTGCTCAGGGTTACTCCTGACTGTTAGCTACATTTAAGGGAACTTGGGTGCCTAAAAGACTCCCATGCCATTGTGGGGAAAAGGAGTTTTTCAATAATATTCCAAAATGGAGTACTGCCCTATTTTACGCTAAGGCAGGAATTTCAGAAAATGTTGAATGGCATACAGCAAAAGCACAATACTCTAAGCAGCACTATCATTTAATAGTGAAGAATCTCTCAGTTACCAGAAAAATATCTGGAAATACCAGCTGTGCATAAGGGAAGGAGAAATTGTATTTTGTTAATCAACAAAAATGTATTTTGCTAATCAGTTTGGGTTTTGGATGTACACAACTGGTGGCAGGTCAAACAAGGCGCAGACTAGTGCTTGGAATCCCCCCTGCCCTTTATTTAAAAAAAAAAAAATAAAAAAAAAAAAATAAAAACAAGTCCACTCACTCCTTTCAGACAGAACAGTCACCTGTAGATTTAAGAAAGTACACAGTATGCACCACATAAGCTTTTATCCTTCCGTGCTGAAGATTCCATTAGCTGGACTCCCTGCTTCTCTGTGCTTTTATCCCAAAAATCTGGTGTCTGCAGGATCTTTATGACTAGTTCCTCAAAGGCATGTTGCACTCCGTCCTGTGTCTTGGCACTGGTCTCTGGCGGAGGGGAAAAAAAAAGTATTTTATCTTATTTGCAGGGGGTATTCCACTTTGTTAGAAGTTCTTTTGGGACCAGAGTGAAGATATAATTTTTTAAATAAGTGAACCTCCTCTCCATTCTCCCTTAAAGGCATACTTAAGTTGAATATGACGAACAGAAATGCATCCCAGTCTGAAGCATTTCATTTTTCCACCTAAAAAAGTTCCACAGCTCCCCATTCTCTCCATAATGGAGAAAGAGAAATTGTTCTCAGGTTGTGATAGTAAATCTACAAGATATTTATTCCATAACTAAGCCGGGAAACAAAGAACACGGAGGGAATTACATGTTTTCCCCTATGCATTTGTTCCAGTTCCTTCTGGAAATCTTTTCAAGAAGCTTCACATAAAAGGTACTTCTTAAAAAAAAAAAAAAAAAAACACACACAATTTGTTCCCCATCTTTATATCTTCACATTGTACATTTTATTGTTGGTCTAAGAATACTGTCTTTTATGTAGCTGCAACAGAAAATTGGAAACAAAAAAGACATTACCCAAGGTCCTTGCCGACATCAGTCAGGAGAAAAATTCCAGTCTTCTGGGTTCCGAATTAAAAAATCCTGCTAGTTTGAAGAGAATATAAAATTCATGCCTACACAGTATCTCTTTCAGAGAAAAGTACTTCCAATTGTAGTCAACGCAGAGCATCTCTGAAAAAAGGTAAAACCTACATCTGTGCATATGAACTAATGCAGCAAAAGGAACCCATATTAATTGGGTACTAAAAAAAAGTAAATCAACCTATCAACCTGGAATACAATTGTACGCTTCATTCACACGTAGCAGTATGACAATAAACATACGAATATACAAGTTCTTGGCACAGAGTTACATACCTATAAAAAGCAGGGAGTGTTTCCTAGCAAACTGGAGTCCTTCTTTTCTCTCTACTTCACGATCAGGCTGCAGAGACGAATGAAGAACATGACTAAAACAAGCTACACTTGCCACTTTTAGGAAGTCCCTTGAAAAGCACCACCACAGAAGTGAAGTTTTGCTGAAAAGAAAGAAGTCTATAAAACCACGTAGTAATCAGCAACTGGATTTTCCCACTCTACAGACAGCTTACTGCTAGGCAGGCTCTTAGGGGGTCAAGTTGAACAGCAGCAACATCAAATCGGTAGGAAATGAATGTGGTGTTATCTTCTGAATCAACTAGGAGCAAGATATATGCCAGAAAGGAGGTTTCAGTAGTCAAACAGCTGAAAAGGTGTATCAAAGGATCTGAAAATTGACAGATTTGGAAGGGGACAGAAGAGAACCTAGTTCAGGATAGCCCCACTGGAAACCTCTTGTAGTAAAGGAAGAGCAAAACATCTCGCTCTGCACCAGGCATCTGTCAGAACACCCCAGAAGCGTACAGCAGCCAGCGCACCTCCCGCCCACACAGACGCAGACTCCATAGCCATCTGAAGGGCGGAATTCTTCCCCACCAGCTGTCCAAAACAGAGTCTGGTCAAAAAGAAAGCAGCAGTTGTGCTGTTGCACTGCAGTTAGCTGCAACGGTATACAGCAGTTTTTAGGCAGAACCTCTCACTATCTTAAGAGAATCTCTCTCATCAATTGCATGTCTCCAGGAGAGCTTCCACTAAAATCTTTAACAAGATCTGCTTCAAAAATGAGGCCATAAGCGGAGCCTGCCCAACCTAGGTTCCTCAGTTACAGAGCATATCACCTCCTCCCACAACAGATGGGTTAGTTTCAGCACTTATCTCACATTTATACTCTATCATGACCAAGTAATCTGTGGAAGAGTGTAAGAGGGGACATTTCTGAACTGACCTTATCGGTTTTATTGCCAACTAACATCTTCACAGTGTTGCTTTTGGTGGTATACGTTTCCAGCTCATTCAGCCAGCTCTCTAGTCCTGCGAAAGTGTCTTTTCTTGTAACATCGTACACTGGTAACAGAAGAAAAGGAGCTTAACAACTGTAGAGTCTTGAACAATGTTTACTTCATTATGGCAGCACTTAGCCCCTCCTAGCTAACTACTGCCCCAAAAAAAGCAGTATTAGGGAATTACAGAAAGATGCATCAACCATATCTTCTTCCCAGAGCTGCAACACATTGGCCGTGCTCACCCGGTCACTAGGGATTACTGAACACCAGCATCTCTGCAATAGATCTGTGACTGGAAATCAGACTTACTAGTTGAAGTCTTACACCTGTTACTAGTTATGAATTGGGCCGCACAAGAATATTTTAAAATAGGTATTTTGTCACCTCATTTAATGTATAACTACATGCAGGCACTGCTGCTAAAAATACAGATTCTGAGTAAAAAGTTACTTTGGTCACTGGTAACTTCCTAACTGCATTCACTTAATCACTAAGGTTTAAAAAGCTGCATCATAGTCAGAAAGATTATTTTGTTCAGCAAGGTGTTCAGCCTTCACAGTCCCTGACAGTAAGAATCTCTTCCAATTGGTGGTGTCACGCAGAAAGGGACTAGCCAGCCACTAGTTGTGCTACAGACCTCATGTCTTACAGTAATCACATCAATAGTCTCTGGAAAAAAAGTAAAAACATCGTGGGGGGAAAAAACAACACAAAACCCAGTTAGCCTTATTACCAGAAACTCACCAAAGTAATTACTACAAAGCTAATAGTTCATGCAGTGAACAGCCTGCAGTGTGACATATCTGTATTTTTAATTTAAAATATTTTGAAGCAGCATTATTTCCCGCCAGTGGTTTTGCATACTCAGTGTTTGAGCTAATGATGCAGTAATGTTGTAAAAACCATAATCGTTCCTCTGATTCTCCCAACCTCCTTTTGTAAAGATGTGCGCACTTAGATAGTAATAAAGACCACACTTTTTGTAATCATGTTTTTCTTCCATATACCTCCTACCTAAAACAACCCCTTGAGCTCCTCGGTAATAACTGGGAGTCAGTGTTCTAAAGCGCTCCTGTCCTGCTGTGTCCTACAGAGGAAAGAAAAAAAAAAAACAAAAACAAAACAAAAAACCAAAACCACACACAACACAAAATCAAATATACTTAAAACAAAAAAGGTATTTTAAGCTACACAAGATAAACAAAGTTAAATTCTTCCCGGCCAGTAAGGATACGTGAAACCATAAGACAACAGAAGGAGGGAAGCAGTCAGAAGACATAAGCAGCAGCAACAGAAAATGGATAAGGGGGGTAGAAAAGCATGGAGAGGACCTGATGGCAGGTGAAAGCAATAAGCACAGACACCTGTAACATGAGTGAGACACCAAGGAAGTCAATGGGACTCAAGAGAAATACCTAAAAGGCTGTTGCTGCAAGCCAAGCAGCTAGGCTTAATCGGTCAACAATCAGCTGAACTGAACGAGGTGAGGAATAACTGGTTTTCCAGTGAGAGACACTGCAGGAAAGGAGCCATAGCGGTGCCAAAAATCTCCCTTTGCTCCTCCACAGCAGGAAAAGAGAATTCAGTTAGAACTACTTCAAGTTTGCTAAGATTCCAAGCAGATAAGAAATTTAAAATCAGTAGTTTCATTCCATTATTACTGCAGTATGTCACACATTCTCATGAATCTTTGAAATAGCTCCAAAGTGCAATATGAAATTCAAAAACCCTCAGAACAAGCAATAAGGAGGCAAAAGAATTACACAAATATGATTTTTACCAAAAAAATTTATTTAAAGTTATGTACCAATTACAACAGACAGACTAACAGCTATGTTGTAATTTAGTTATTCTTTGTTAAAAAAAAAAAAAAAAAAAAGAAGAAACTAAAATTGGCAATATATTTACTTAATTCGGGTCATCGTTCCTAAGGAGACTGTACTCTTCGGCATCCATGCACACATGGACACTAAAGCAGGAGCCTCTTTTTGACCTTGATGCACTGTACATGCATTGAAGTTTTTATTTAACATTGTACAACTGCGCTGTTTTTCCCCCCTAATCAGCAGTTTCTCCTGATGCTGTTACAGACTGCTGCAAAAGCGCCTCTTCCAGCTATACAACTTGTGCAAGCTCTGGCCTCGCCTTTCATTTCACAGCAAGGAGACGCACCCCTGCGCGATTACCGGGGCACGGCTGCCGTGGTCACTCAGCAAAGCTGCTGCTTTGTGCATGGCACGTTCAGAATACAGCGCTGCGTACGTGCGCTGGCCATAGCGAGCGTGACGTTATCGCTCTCACTCTGCGTTCCGTACAGAGCATGCACGAAAACAAGAAAATAATTCAAGTTTTGGCATTTATATTACTTCTGTTAATACGAGCCCAAGGCACACTTCTGCTTTTTCCAAAAGTCCTGATTACTTAATTCATAATGGAGTGTTCAAATACCTATGACCATACTCATGAAATCTCTTCCTTCTAGGGCTCTTTCATTCCATTTAGGAGAATAAAAGTGGTGCTTTAATATTATAAATAATCCTGATCACACAGCTGCAATCTGATTTTGCAGGTACTGGAAAGAGAGCATCAGAAGTTCAGGACAAATGCTGAAGCCTCCCAGTAAATCTGAACCAACCTTTAAATAGTTCAGGACCAAGTATATATATATTTTTTTCTTCATTATTTTAACCAAAATAAAGCATCTGGACTGTTTCTGGTGTAGTCTACAGGAAATCCTGCAGCTCATTGCCCAGAACATCGCTTTTCTGCGGTTTACTCGACTGAATCGCTGCCTGTCCTGGGAGCGCTGCCAGGTCCTCCAGGCGTGAAACGCCGGCCTTGCTTGCACGGCCGCATGTTCACAAGCCTCACGCTTCACAGGGGGCTGAGAAACCCAGGCGTGCAAGTGCAAGAAAGCGCAGCCCGCACCTCTACTGGAGCTGAAGGAAGCCCCAAACCTGGGGCAATGAAGCATTTATCGGTGTTTTTAAAGGGCGCTTGCATCATCCGCAGCCTCAGCACGCAGAAGCCTTCAGCAAGGCGGGGGGAGGAAGAGGAAAAAACCACCAAAGGAAGCGCCTGAAGCTCTCGCATCTGCCGAGAGCAAAACCTACCCATATCGCAAGCTGCACGGCGTGGCCGTCCACCAGCATCTTCTTCACTTTAAAGTCGACGCCTAGGGGCGAAAGGGGAGGCCTGTCAGAGCGAGCCGCCCCGCCGGGGCCCGAGGCAAGGGAGCGACAGCGCCGGACTCACCGATGGTGGGCTTCAGGCTGGGCTCAAAGGCGCCGTCGGTGAACCTCAGCAGGAGGCTGCGGGGAAAGAAACCGAGAGCTCAGCCGGGTGCGGAGAGCGCCGCGCCCGCAGGGCCCGCACCGGGCAGCACCTGGACTTCCCCACGGCGCTGTCTCCGACCAGAAGCAGCTTCAGGGTGAGGCCTGCAGCGTCCATCGCCCGCGCCGTGCGGGCGCGGGCCCGGAACCGGCCGAGGCCGGGCGGCTCAGGGCGGCTCAGGGTGCCTCACGGCGGCGCGGGGCTGCTCGGGCCCG